TTCATTTTGAGAGAAAGAGAGGCGTGCTAAGCCATTTTTATGAATGAAATCATGCTTGTCGGCGTGAAGTACTGAGAAGGACCTGGCCTGATCCAGATTGGTTCCACACTATCTCGGCGACGAGCGATTCGTCGCCTTCTTAAACTTTCAAAAGCAATGTTTTACGCGGCCCTGCGAAGACTTGTGTGGATCACTCTTCAGATTGCGCAGTCCTAGGATCGCTCTCAGTCTCAAGATTCAACCTATTTGTTTTCCGAGTTTGAAACCCGTTTCAGAATGTTCACACAATAGGCCACAACACCCACAACCTTCCTATTGTATTGAGAAATTTCATATAACAAGTAAATCTTTTGTGTACGGCTAAAATAAGACAAATCAATGTATTGTATTGAGAAATTTCATATAACAAGTAAATCTATTGTGTACGGCTAAAATAAGACAAATCAATGTATTGTATTGAGAAATTTCATATAACAAGTAAATCTATTGTGTACGGCTAAAATAAGACAAATCAATGTATTGTATTGAGAAATTTCATATAACAAGTAAATCTATTGTGTACGGCTAAAATAAGACAAATCAATGTATTGTATTGAGAAATTTCATATAACAAGTAAATCTATTGTGTACGGCTAAAATAAGACAAATCAATGTATTGTATTGAGAAATTTCATATAACAAGTAAATCTATTGTGTACGGCTAAAATAAGACAAATCAATGTATTGTATTGAGAAATTTCATATAACAAGTAAATCTATTGTGTACGGCTAAAATAAGACAAATCAATGTATTGTATTGAGAAATTTCATATAACAAGTAAATCTATTGTGTACGGCTAAAATAAGACAAATCAATGTATTGTATTGAGAAATTTCATATAACAAGTAAATCTATTGTGTACGGCTAAAATAAGACAAATCAATGTATTGTATTGAGAAATTTCATATAACAAGTAAATCTATTGTGTACGGCTAAAATAAGACAAATCAATGTATTGTATTGAGAAATTTCATATAACAAGTAAATCTATTGTGTACGGCTAAAATAAGACAAATCAATGTATTGTATTGAGAAATTTCATATAACAAGTAAATCTATTGTGTACGGCTAAAATAAGACAAATCAATGTATTGTATTGAGAAATTTCATATAACAAGTAAATCTATTGTGTACGGCTAAAATAAGACAAATCAATGTATTGTATTGAGAAATTTCATATAACAAGTAAATCTATTGTGTACGGCTAAAATAAGACAAATCAATGTATTGTATTGAGAAATTTCATATAACAAATAAATCTATCGTTGAGCGAAATTTCATAAATACATCATGTTCGAATGAATAAAAAAAATAAAAGTGCATTCATTCATTAAGAGAAGCCTTAGTCCTTTCAAAAGCACGTTCCACAACACTGTGTTGTCCATTCTTCTTCTTGTGTTGGCTCAAAACATTCAGAGCAGTTTGCACGTCTTCTTCTGATTTAGAAACACTCTCGGAAGCTTGTGCAAAATCACACATAAAGGATGCATGTTCCACTTGGGTGGATGACAATTCCTCTTCAAGTTGTTTGAGTAACTCTTTGGTTTGAATAATCCTTTGATTAAGACCCGCAATGTGCTCATCCGACTTGATAATTGAAGCAGACAACTGTTCATGTTCACCAGAAACTTTGTCGAAATGAAGCTTGTTCTCATAATATTGGGCCTCAAATTCTGCAGTAGACAAGTTTGAAGAATCTGCAAGTTGGGTTTTCAAAGCAAAGCACCCAAGGAATATCTTCACCTTCTCATAAAAGGAGATGAAGTCTACACCCAAACTCTTCAAAATCATGAAAACGTTGTTTGCTACAGCAATCATGCCATTAACATCCTTCATTGATTGGAGAGAAATAGTAAGACCTTTCTGAATATGGGTGGCTGCTTCGTTAGAGAAAGTTCCCAAAAGAAGGTTAGATGGAGCAAAGGGTGCTTCAAGTTTGTCAAATAATTTGTTAACCCCATTTGCTTCAAGTAAGTCTGCAAGAATTTGGGCATCTTCCGAGGTATCAGAAGTAATTTCGTCTGTCTCTTTCAATGTGTCAGAAGTATTTTCTGTGAAAATAGAAGGAGATACTCAATGAAAACGTAGAAGGTAAAAACAATATATATATATATAGATGAATGAAGTATACCTTTGTGTACGGCTTGAAGAGACTTAAGTGGAGGAGACAAGTTGTGATTCCCACAAGTGGACCATGGATTTTGTAATGTGGCATGATCTAAAGAGAAAAGAGTTCCTTGAGTATCTACACATGATGAAATAAAATGAGGTACAAGGAATGAATAAGAATACCCTTAAAGGTAGCCAATGGCATATGCAAGGCAGCTAGGGAAGTCCGAGGCGCAGTGTCTAAGAAAATGAAAGGTATTAAAAAAAAAAAAAAAAAAAAATAAAAAAAAATAAAAAAAAAATAAAAAATAAAAAAAATAAAAAAATAAAAAAAAGAATATAAAATAAATTTTTTTTATACCTTTCTCTAATAGCTTGGATGACTCGTTCGAAGGAGAAGAAAAAGCTACATT